TGTGGTCAGGAACATACTAATCATGTATTTACAGCAGAGTCGTTTTATGCTGTCATTTAGGCCAACTTATGAAGCATTTAATTCATGCTGCTGTGTGTGTGGCAAGTCCCCTCACCTTCCCCACTGTTATGTTAGCGAGGCGGCTAATTATGACATTAGAAATGGTTACTGAGGAAGGAATTTGATCACATCTTGTCCTACCTTTAAAACACAGTACCACAAGCTTTACAAGTATGTCACGGTACATATGCATTATACCAGACACCAATCCACCATGTTTGTTTGATGTTACAACCTCATCAGGGACATCCGTCGGAGTCACATTTCAGCGAACATGTTATATTTTGCATTTACTTTGGTAATAAAACATGACACAAAAACTGGACCTACGAGAGCTGATGGGAACACTACTCGCCCAGGTTCAAGTAATCTTGTGGACCTTTCTGATAAAGATTACATATAGAAACTCTACACAGATAATTCCCATGGCCTTGAATTCAGTTGAAATACTCATGTGAACACTAACAGTGATATATGTGGACCACGGAAGGAATCTGCCCAGCGGAATAATCAGAGTAACCCTCAGAACAAAGGTTATCCCATGCGACCCCTCAGCAAATCGTATAACACTCTAGAAGGTGTCTCCCGTCTTCGTACCAGACGGATTGTTCTGTCTAAACATCAAGGCTGACGAGTCGTTCGAAGAACTGAAGAACATCATATCCAGCTATGCCCATGAACGTCATGTCCGTGTAACATATGTCCGATTCTTGAAGAAACGGATTCACTTTGATAAGTCTGAAACTTACACTGTACAGGTAAACTTGCCACTAGATGATTATGACGTCATGGTGAATGACGATTACTTCTGGCCTGAGGACATTGTGTGTCGAGACTATGTGCCAAGGCAGCGTCAAACTGATCCGAAACAACAACAACAGCAAGAATACAGAAGGAACATCTACTAACAAAATGACTATGTTCATATTGACTATGTTGTCTATTGTGATGGCACGAAGTGTGTTGACCTGGAATGTGCGTGGTGTGTCACATCAGACCGAACATATCAACTCTATTTTACCGGACTATGTCGATATCATTGCTGTACAAGAACACTGGCTAAAAACATGCAATATTCAAAGATTCAAAGATCTTAAATGTTGTAAACTTCTGTCCTACATATGTGACGATGCATGTACCTCATCGAGAGGGTCCGGTGGTATAGCTCTTCTACAGAACACTCATTCTAAATGGAGGACGCAATGTATACATTCGTCTTCGACAGTAGTATTGCTGTTAAGTTAACGCACCCACGTGCCGCTGACATGTATGTGATTGCATGTCGCCTTCCGTCCACTCATGCCCTTCACGTTACGTATAGCACGGCTCTAGACGAACTATCTGACTTATATGATGAGTTGTGTGTGCAGGGTGATACAATTATTCTAGGTGATCCCAACTCGGTTATGTGTAAGCGTCTAATGTTACCACGCGACAAACTTCTGTCTCACTTTGTCAGCACTCGTTATTTAGTGAATACTATTCAAGCCATTAGCTCATATACTTTCAGGAGCAAAGATAACATAAACAAGTCTCTGATTTTTTATATCCTGATTCCTTCCCATTTGCAGAGTAACGTTAGCTCAAGTGAAGTGCTATTCACTAGTTATGATGTCTCCGATCACTTTCCATGTGTAGCTACCATACAAGTACATGTAAATGATAAATAAATGTAAAGCAAAAGCTTAAAGAAGCATGTTTTGTTAAATGGGACAAAGCTTCCAATATTGAGATCTCTTCGTACAAGGTCTGTCTTGATACATTGCTAAACAATGCAGAGACGTGTTTATCAATAGATACACGTGATGATATTGAATCATTTAATACGGGGATCAGTAAAAGTATGATTGATGCCAGTAGACAGTCTATACCAGTAGGTAGTTTCATGGCTCATCTAAAGTCTTCCTGGAAACAGGATGACCATTATAACATGCGAGTTGCAAGGCGAGATGGTTATCCGAGGATAAACCAAGGGGGGGTAATTTCCATTCTTATACTTCATACAAGCAAGCTAAGCGAGAATTCCGACGTCGTCACAGACAGTCAAAGCAAGCCTATTCAAAGAAATTTTGTTTGGAATTAGAAAAACCTTGTGATACTGATGTGAATACGTTTTATAAATCTGTGAGAAAACTACGTAAGCAGAAGATCGGAGTTGAAAAACTTACATATGATGACCGTAATGTAACAACCCCCACTGACATATGTCAGCTTTGGGGTAGGTACTATGCGGATTTAGCAAAACCATATGACTCCGAACAGTTCGATCAAGACTTTAAAGATGATATTGACTGTGAAATTGAGAAATTAGCCTCCAGTAATGAATCTAACTCATGTGTTGATAATGTACTATGTGCTGAAATTTCCATTCAGGAAGTGACTAGATATGTACAGACACTGAGGAGGAACAAATCACCTGGCCCTGACAATATTAATAATGAACATGTGATGTTTGGTGGTGAGCTGTTAGTAGGGAAGTTAGCACTATTATTTAATGTTATTCTTTAATTTCAGTACACACCTGTTGCCTATAGACACGGGGTAATTATACCAATTTATAAGGGTAAAAAAGATAAATCAAACCCTGTCAATTACAGAGGTATTACGCTAACATATTGCCTTAGTAAGCTTTTTGAGAAAATTCTCCTAGAAAGATTAGAAACGTGGACATCCCGAAATGCCTGTAATTTTCCCGATATGTTGCAGTTTGGCTTTAGGAAGGAGCACGGTGCTGTTATGTCGCTATTTACCCTCATCGAATGTGTACAAAGTTATGTTAACAGGGGATCATGTATCTACACAGCATTTCTAGATAACGATAAAGCTTTTGATCGAATATGGCACTCGGGTCTCTTTGTAAAACTCTATCATCTTGGTATTAGAGGTAAAATGTGGTCTCTGTTACATCACTGTTATACTTCCATGTATGCGTGTGTTCAGTATAAGGGCGAACAATCTGATGCATTTGCTGTTAGACAAGGTATAGGTCAGGGTAGAGTTATCTCAGCTTGGCTTTTTCTTTTGAACATAAATGACCTCATAACTGAGCTTCGGCAGTTAGATACAGGAATATGTATATATAATGTTAGTTTACCATGCGTGTTACTTGCTGATGATACTACTCTTATCAGTTACAGCCCTAAAGGTCTGCAAACAGCCTTAGATACAATTGTTAATTACGCATCCAAATGGCGATTAACTTATAATGCATCGAAAAGTAAAATTAATATTGTTGTGTTTCATAAAAAGAAGCAATTATTGTGTACGCATGCTTATCACTTTGGGGACTATGACATACCAATGTTTGATAATGTAAAATATGCGGGTGTTGTTCTACAAAGTAATCTTTCTTTCAAATTATATATTGAAGAGAGCTGCACAAAAGCAAGGCGTACTATTAATTCTCTCCTCTCTGTTGGTCTAAATAGTAGTGACTTACATCAGTATGCAAGTATTGAGATATGGAAAAGAATGATTTTAACAACAAGTTTTTATGGATGTGAATTACTACCTCCTCTGCATGGTAAAGATCTTGAATTAGCTGAAAGCACCCAGCGTTACTTTGCAAGGATTGTACAAGGTTTTGACAAACGTTCCCCCACTGATGCCACTATTGCTAATCTAGGACTTTGGAGCATGGTTGGCTATATCGATAAATGTAGACTTCAGCTCCTGGGGCGTCTCTGCAACAACTCATGTGTCTCAATTTGTAAAACTGTTTTCTGCGCATCAACTTCACTCTATTTCTTTCATAACAATAATTTACACAGTTATATGGAGTGTTGCTTTCAACAGCCAAGAAATATAACCTACTTCATCATGTATTTCACTACGTTCGCACAGGGGAATTCCCCGCGAAGACTAAGTGGAGAAAGATTATGTTAAATGAAATATCTACCCACGAGGAAGAAGTATGGAAATATAAACTATCACGTAGAGCTGACCTATCTCGATATTCTTAAATTCACACAACACTTACTCCTCATGTGTTATACAGCATTGTAATGTTATATCCAGAATTGAGAGAAGAAATACAGTATGTAATAAGGATTGAATCCAGAAGCAAAATATCAAAAGAATGTACAAAATGTAATACTTTTGCTCATGATTGTTATCACCATGTCATCTTAAACTGTGAATGTCTACTTTCAGAGAGAGATGTATTCTTTTCCACTCGTGGCATTTCACAATTATTGAATTTTCAAAGTATTTATATCAAATTAAACATAATTATCCTAAACAACGTGTGGTAACCTTACCAATATTTCTCACTATTTATAGCCTGTAAATATGCGGGACATTGATATGTATATATGTGTGTATATATGTTTGATTATTGTGTTATTTAATTATTTAATTACATAATCTTGATGTTTTGAGAATCTTCGGATTTATCTGGAGGAAATAAAGTCATTCATTCATTCATTCATTCATTCGTTCATTCATTCATTATATGGGCATAAGAGGTGCAATACAGTAGTCTACCTGACTAACGTTTTTACAAGTTACATTACCAACACACCAATCATCCCCAACACGACCGTTCACAATATACATATTTGTTGATATATATTAGAGACGGGGCCCAGCTTAAGTGCTACGATTGCTTTGTGGAACGGACCTCTGAATTCTAAAGGTGGCCCGTACATTATCAGCGCTTCTTCCGATAAAATATTATATTTCCAATTATGGGAGCAGGTTAAACACATGTTCATCAACGACATTTACATGCCAGTATAAAGAACTCGTTTCGATCCTTCGTCTTGATATCATTGTTGCGCGTTTTGTTAACCGAGCTCCTGTCTACCCTTACGAGTCAAAAGCGATAAACTTGCTGCGTAACCAACAGTGGGAGTAAGCTGGGCCCCGTCTTTAATATCACAATAACACATGACGACGCGCATAGGGAGCCGGGAACCAGCTAACAGCGGGAGAACCAGTTTACACCTGCCACCTAGCGGGCGTAAATGCCGCAGGACGACAATCGGATGGTATCGGTACATTACGGACAATATCATCAGCTTCCGAAGGAGACCAAGCGAGATTTCACGGGATTGAACGAGATTGTTAGCGTTTGTTGTTGGTGTCCAGACAGGGAATCCATAATGGTAAAGTGTATATATTCATCCTTTGAGCAATATGGTAGAAACACAGATCTTATTTTAATCTTTGAAAGGTTAATTTACCTTTTTACAATGATAATCAATGGATCAATCAAAATTGTGATTTTCGTGAAGCTGTTTTAGTAACCATTATTTTTACCCAATCACACATGTTGATCACACCTAGACTACCTGAATCTATACATGGTTATAGGCTGATATCTAAGTCTTGTATTTCAATATTATGAATGATAAGTGCTAGATCCATTTCGATTTGGCATACAAGTCTCTATCCATAGTTAGTCTTGCATCTATTCATGACTTCATATATTTGACTTTGAACTAGCTCAAAGTTCATTTGATAGCCTATTGCAATATTTTGTTTGATTGAATATAGGGCCTATATATTCAAATGCGGATACTATAATGATCAATGATGTGGTCAGGAACATACTTATCATGTATTTACAGCAGAGTCGTTTTATGCTGTCATTTAGGCCAACTTATGAAGCATTTAATTCATGCTGCTGTGTGTGTGGCAAGTCCCCTCACCTTCCCCACTGTTATGTTAGCGAGGCGGCTAATTATGACATTAGAAATGGTTACTGAGGAAGGAATTTGATCACATCTTGTCCTACCTTTAAAACACAGTACCACAAGCTTTACAAGTATGTCACGGTACATATGCATTATACCAGACACCAATCCACCATGTTTGTTTGATGTTACAACCTCATCAGGGACATCCGTCGGAGTCACATTTCAGTGAACATGTTATATTTTGCATTTTCTTTGGTAATAAAACATTTCATTTACATACGAAAGCATTTAATCTAAGCCATTGAGTAGGGGGGGCAAGCTCCCTAACCCACTGTTGTTTTAGTAAGGTGACAAAAATTGAAAAACTTTGAAACCATTACTAAGGAATGAGCTCATGCACATTTCTTACCAAATTGGCGGAATGTGTTCGGTATACTGCTTTCTTGCCAAATTACTCTATGACATAATTTGTGAAATATTGTTGCAAAACACACAGGCGAAACAATGCCCTGTTACATCGGCCTAGCAACAGAGTTGCTGTGGTCATCAAGTGACCTTAGCTCCTCTCAGTGATCTACCATCTCTACATGCAATATCATTGAACAAGCCCAGCGATGTTAAGAGTTTTAAATATATGTTTAAGCCTGTGGTTATGCATTTTATTGCAAGCACTAGTTTATGGAAGCACTTTTATTTTCAACATGTTTTAATTTTGTATCTTATCCTGCATTACTGCTTAATGCTTCTACTGCTATTGACCAATAGACGGAGCTGTGAGAGGTGCTGGCTACAGAAATTGTTGTACCTACCAAATTTTGTGGCTTCCACCCTCCACAGCTACCCAACGTGACCAGAAGTTACGTCACATAAATCACATCACTGCTAGTCACTGGACTGTACTGATGTCTGTGAATTTGCTCCCCAGTTCAAGAACCAGATAGCATCCTCTGCTTATTCTTTTTACATATCCTTGGATAACCAATATGTTCTCCATCATGTAGAGTTTAGTCTGGTGTACTAGGGTGGTCCAGTTGGGCATACAATAGTGTGTGATTTGCCTACCTTCAGTTTCCCGTGCTTTTCACTAGCACATGTGTTGTACCTTCTGCGCTCTGCTTATGCAACACATACTCACGCCATTACCACCAATCACACCGACCACCACTCGTCCATCGTTGGCTCCTCTGGAGGACGTCGCCTCATCTCGTTGGTCTCTCTCACATGGCTACACCCCTAGATCATCCCATTCTGGGTGCCGATCCTGTAGTTGCTCTCCACTATGTTGACCATACGACTAGAGCTTTGTCACAAACATCCCCCGTCAGGGGCACTGGTTCACCCTCATAAGCGGAACGGTTGTTAACCTCTTACCCCATAGTGGACGGTAATCCTGCGTCAGGTTCAGCTCTTGCTCCAGAACATTCAGCTATTGGAGCCCAAGCAAGCGATCAAGATTGTTCACGTTTCTACTCCCCAGTGTTCCTTTTACTCAAGAAAAAGTCATCCAAGTTTCGGATAATTCACAACCTCACCATTTTTCAACAAGCATTATCTGGAATGTCCTCCACACATTTGACCAACAACGTTGAGAATGCTCAGGACCAGAAGCCAACGATTCCCTGATCAGTCTCGACCTCCAGGATGCTTATCTACATGTGGCCTTCAACTTCAGCTGCAGGAAGTTCCTCAGGTTTTACTTCCAAGGTATCCACTACCAGTGGGTGGTCCTTCCATTTGGCATTTCTATGGCCCCATGGTTATTTACCCACACTTATTTACCTACACCTAAAGAATGTTCCTTTCAAGTCTTACATCGATGACTGCATTCTAAAGCACCAAGACATGGAAACCCCTTCTACTTCACAGTGATTTCACATGTCATCTCACAGCTAGGATGGCTCATCAACGAGCCCAAGTCGGAACTCACCCCGTTGTTCAAGCTCCAGTTCACAGGCAGCCTGTTTCGCATGGACCAGGATCTCCTCCTAGTACAGATGGCACTCAACGTCAGTGGCAGGTGTCCAATGGGCCTTCTTACGCCAGCTCAGGATCTGAAATCCAGAGGCCGACTATAACTATGTTTCTAACCCTGTTTATTCGTTGGCAGAATCCGCAGAACTTTATAGCGCTTCCTACTCACCTCCGCCTGTATCTTCGTTGGTGAACAGTGAGATCGAATGTTTGCGATGACGTCTCCTTGACAGCACTTCAGACGCTCCTCCACCTGTTGGTCGATGCATCATGACAGGGCTTGGGGCACATCTGGAGGATCAGACTGCCTCCGGGCTGTGGTCCCCGGTTGTCAAAACATTCTGGCACACGTCCTCTCCAGACCGGACTAAGTGGTCCCCCAATCATCAACCTTTTTGCCAACAGCCAGAATCACCTATTTCAGACCTATATATCGCAGGTCTTGGATCTTCTGACCTAGGCGGTTGACGCCTTCAGCGTTCCCTGGACAAGCCTTAAAGCGTACATTTTTCCGCCACCTGTACTACTTACCAGGGTCCTACAAAAGATCAAACACATAGAGAATCTATCTCTGCTTTTGATCACACATTGGTGGCCGGCTCTGAATTGGTTTGTAGACCTTCGAGACCTCGCGGATGGTGATCCTATCGAACTCCCGGGATGGCTACACCTGCTGATACACCCTTACAGTCAGTTGCCACACCCAGCTCCAGGCAAATTTCGTCTCCACGCTGGGCACATCTACACCGGGCCCTGAGTGCTGAAGGTTGCTTGACCAGAGTGGTTTATCTATGGCCTATGTTCATAGACCTTTGACATGCTCCTTATATGATGATAAATGGAGTTCCTTTGAAATGGATAAATGTCAGTGTCTCCTCCATCTCTTCAATAAACATCAACTCAAAGGCAGTTCAATTACTACATATTTGGTTGCCCTCAATTCGGTGCTGGCAGGTCCTGAGGATCACAAAATGACCAAGATCTTCAATCACTTTTGCGGTCATTTTGTCAGGAGGATCAACGTGCCAAGATTCGCCCCCTTGCCTGGGATTTTAACTTGGTAGTAAAGTCACTCCGCTCCCTTTGAACCACTTGACTCAGCATCTTTCTTCAATCTTACCAGAAAGACAGTATTTCTACTAGCCTTAGCTACAGCGAGTCAGCAAGTTACACGCCCTTGACACGTCCCAAGTATGGTTCGAGCGTGGAGTGGGCTGTACTGGGATATCATCGCAGAAAATCAACTCCCAGGAAAGTCAGATGGGTCTTTCACTGTTCCTCCCTTATCTTCGATAGTGGGATCTGAAGACGAGGATGAACTAGTTTTGTGTCCCGTGTGTACCCTAAAAGTTTATTTCGGTCTCGCTTTCATCAAAGATGGAGGTCAGTCGAAACAGTATCTCACTCTGGCTGCGCTCCATCATACTGCATAGATATCATAGGTATTATTCTACACCATAAACGATGCTTTGAGTATTAATGCAATATGAGATAAAAAAATTGTAACATCTAAATATCTTTTACATTTGTAATACTTATCCTGCATTACTACCTCTTAAAGTCCCCCCCCCCCCATCACTTTGCTACCTGTCCACAAAGTTCAGATGTCTGTTCTAGCAGTGATGTGATACTACTTGACGTCACGTGGGGTAGCTGTGGAGGGTGGAAGCCACACAACTTGGTAGGTACGACATTTTCTGTAGTCAGGACCTCTAACAGCTCCATCTCCTAGGTCAAGAAAATAGCAGTAGAAGCATTAAGTAGTAAATTATATAAGTAATGCAGGATAAGTATTACAAATGTAAAAGATATTTAGTATTTCGGTTTTAACTTATTTCATGGGGCTGAAAGGATTATAAATGGGAACTAAGATACTAATATATTTTCGATTCATTAGTTTTCATTATTTTGCACAGGAATGCAGTTTATTAGGTATATGATATTGATGCTGCGCACATCCAGCTGTCGCCGGTGTGAAAAGTATCTACCATACAAAGCCTTTGGAATAAATCAATTAGGTTTGTAGCCTTTACTGATCGCCCTCCTTAGGGTTAGTTAACTGTGTTAGGGTTGGTTATCCTGAACCGTATCCTTAGCCCTTGGAGCCTCTTTACGATGAATCACGAGACACTATGCCTACCCATAACCTACGTAAGTAAGTGTCCGTGATTTATACGATATTGTCCTCACGAGAAGTGTTGTTGCTCTATTCTAAGGGACTAGGGTGCTTTGTCAAGTGACCAAACCGCCATGTCCACAAAACAAATATACTGGCTCATTCATTTGTTTTGAATAATGCCATTTAGTCATAAGAATGACACATGTTGGTGGCTGTTTCTTTACCACGCTGGATTATAATGATGACAAAGTACAGCCACTCTGCTGGCGATGTTTGTTTTTATGCGTTCCCGGGCAAGCAAGGCAACAATTAGCATACTTATTCCCTAATAGGAGAACATTCAGGAAGAAAAGTGAAATAACCTTTGTCTTTGTATATTGATGATAAAATGATAAGTGTTGATAGGTGTTCTGTGATTTTACGTACAATTTTCAATATTATTTCACTAAGGATTTCACCCTTTCATTTAATTCATTTACACATCCATATCATCTAGGAAAAAGCATTGTTAACTATGACTTAGGTCTGCCTAGAGCACCACAGTCAATTAATAGAAAAACAAATGCGTATATATCTTAATTGAAAGTAATATACTAACAGTCGGTGCCCAAAACTGTTGAGCCTGCGGGCATGGGTACGCCCTTAATTATCCTGTCTATTAGGTGTAGGATGGGATAGGAGCACCTTGAGTATCAACTGCTACAAGAATTAGGTTCAGATGACCGGAGGTGGCGTCAGAGCCGAGAGCCGGAAGAGATAGAAACCGAAGTGATCACACAAGGGAAGTGACAAACCAGATGAGACGTCAGCACCGGAAATAGTGTCACAAATCCATTTGTAGCTTTTGTTTGTTTGTTGTTTAACGCCGCACTCAGCAATATTCCAGCTACTTGACGGTGGTCTGTAAAAAATCATATCTGGACCAGACAATCCAGTGATTGACATCATGAGCATCGATCCACACAATTGGGACGTCATTTGGTAGAAATAGACCAGAAACGACGTCATAACTTATAACAAGCTCAGCAAATATAAAGGTAATTCTGGTGAAGGTATCATGTATTTGACTGATGCTTGATGCATTCTGATTTTCGAATCCCAAAGAGAAAGTTCAGAGGAAATTATCTCAGGTCAGGATTAGAATCAGTGATTAAATGGTTTCCAGAAGAGGATTACTGTCAATTACACAGGTAGTTACTAGAGGCAGATCCCACCGGGTCCCTCTGGTATATCCTGGCAAAGATGTAATAGAGGTGGAGGATTTGCAAGAATTATCGAACAATAGTTATCATTGTTAATAATTCTAAGAATTCTACCTCTGTAACATTAGGAGTACTCCCACCTACCTCCCCAGTTCATCTACCTCTAGTGGTTAGATGTTGGAAAGAAATGAGGTTTCCCGCCATTACGCACGTCATAGCTTGGGTTGCTATAGTGCTATTCAGGAACAGCTAATAGTGTTTTGTTGATAGTGAAGAGGACGTCTGTTGAAAATCTGAAAATTTAGCTTGTGTGACTTAAGCCAAAATACAGGATTTATGGCAAAGATGTAATAGAGGTAGTATTCTTGGAATTAATGACAATGATGACTTTTGTTCGAATTTTGTTTTGGAAATTGTTGTGCCCTTTTAGCAGGTTGATATTTATTTTGTGTGTGTAAAGGTCCGAATGGCCGCACTATCAAATGAAAGCTGGATTAGTTTTTATATTTCAAAGGAAGGGCTACTTTCACATACATTTTAGGCTAGAGGTTGTCACTTACATTAATATTGTGACATATTATTTTCATGCTTTACAGGGCGTAGGCTAGCCTAGTGGTTAAAGCATTCGCTCGTCACGCCGAATACCCGGGTTCGATTCCCGACATGGGTACAATGTGTGAAGCCCATTTCAGGTGTCCCCCGCCGTGATATTGCTGGAATATTGCTAAGAGCGGCGTAAAACCATACTGACTGACTCACTCACTCATGCTTTACAGTATTCTATGCCCTATTATTAAATATGAAAACCATTTATTGATTGACAAAAGAGTAACAAAACCATGTTTGCTTTCAGGACGTGTTTTTGATGATTAGAAGGAAGAAGGTCACTATTTTTACAGATGCTAAAGAGACTACGTCTCTCGGGGAAGTGAAGAAAATAATTGAAGGCATTTGTAAGGTTTGCCCAGAGAATCAGAAGTTATTTAAAGATGATCAGGTAATGAGTGATTCAAAATATACTTGTTTCTCTTTAGCATGTTGTTTAGCAATAATTCTATATGTATATATAAGGTTTTGCAAGATAAATGAAGTTAATTTGGCAATGACACGTTATACTGAAATATTGCCAAAGTGACTTAAAGTTTTACTCACTCAAATATGTGTAAAAAGTGATTATGCTTGTCATAGAAGACAACTAACAGAATCGGTGGGTCAGACTCACAGACTTTGTTGATGCATGTCATTGTATCCCAATTATGTAGATGGATGCTCATGATGTCAATCAGTGGATTGTCTGGTCCAATTTTACGGACCACCGCCTTATAGCTGGAATATCATTGAGAAACACATATATCACATCTATTATGTCTGATGTGGACACACCACTAGGATGTTTTTAGGTGAAGTCTTTCTACGTGAAGCTTAAAACTTTAACTAAGTAGTGAATTGTCTGTAATCAGTCTGTCACGACACATCCACTGTAACTACCTAGTCTGTGGAGCTGAAACTTTGTATGAATGATACAAGCTATGGTGTCGCTAAATTTGCTCAAAGAATTCCATTCTGATTTTATAATTATCCTAATAGAAAACAATTATTGGCTATTAATCAGCAATCTATTTTCAATATGTATTGAAAATTTAACACAGGTGTAGTTTGTAGTGGGAACTTTTATATACCGTATTCGACGTAATAAGTGCCCAGGGCGCTCTCAAAATTAGAAATAGGGGGCTCTTTTTAGAATATCATTTTGGTGGAAAAAAACAGAGTTACAGGATAAATTTCGTGGTTTATGCTGACAGCCTGAAATGTTTATATACGACAGATATATTTTTCCAGAATTTAATTGCCCATAATTAAAGGTGCATATAACACACGAGTGCCTATTATACGCGAATAAATAAGTCTTGTGTACATTGATCAATCGGAAGGGGTGCTAATTGGGATTGTTCACTAGCTAATATATTAGCAAATATCGCCGTGGGCGCTTATTAGAGCAGGGCGCTTATTACGTCGAATACGGTATGTTCCATTTCTTGATTCAACATTTACGGCACCTATCATGCCTATAGCTATTGCCTTACCTTTGAGGCAAGGGCTAAAGTTCTAAAGCACTTCCAAGAGGGGCTCCTTTCTTGTGACAGACTACTTAAAAAGTACATGACCCTGTTACCCCCAGTAACCATGATACTGACCTTTGCAGTTGAAAAACCTTGTCACTTTTACCACATTCTTAGTACCTTCTTTGATACGGTTTAACTGATGAAGTCGAAAATTATCGCAAGATTTCCATTTATGAAGACATTTTGAAATGAATTTGAATTTGTTCATTGTGTAAAAAACAAATTGTTGCAAAAGGTTTTTACATCTTTATTTTAAGAAAAACGCTGTTGCAAATATATATTTTCTCTCCCCCAACCCCCCAACCGTGTGAATCTTTAGCAGCAATTTTTCTATTGTAGATAGATATTTGTACCAAAATAAGGTTGAAGTGTTGTACAATTGTAACGCCATAAGTCAGGTGAGCTACAGACCCCTGTGGCTCTATTTTTTCCGAACTTGTCTGAGATAGGGACTTTTTTGTGTGTAAAAGTATGTGTAAATGAGTTTGTCTGGTCCAGATTTGATAGTTTACCACAGGTCACTGTCATATGGCTGTAATATTGCTGAGTGTATGTTACATAAAAATAAAACACTTGGCTGAGTTGTATGCTTCTTTCTTGAGACATTTTCCTATTGAAGTAACAGTAACAGCTTTTTGTAGCATGCACACACAGAATATTTAGATCTGTACATGCTGTATATGTGAAAGGTTGTATTTTATAATCAGGATTATGTTGTCTATAAACTTCACTCTTCAAAAAAAGAAACGCATAGGTGTTTTGAGAATTCCAATCAGATTTTTTCCCCCATATCGCCATTGGACGTTTACAAGCAGGAGAGTCCAAGTCTGCTGTTGCAAAACACTTCAACATTCACCAAAGCACCATATTTTGACTATGGGATCGATATACCCACACTAATTCGACTCAAGATCATCCCAGAAGTGGAAGACCAAGAGTGCTCAAGATCGGTACATCCGGTTGCATCACCTTCGGAATCGATTTGCTACAGCAACTGACACTGCAGGACAGGTGCCTGGTATGCAAAGAATTTTCGACCAAACCATCAGAAATCGTCTGAGGGAAGTAGGAATTCGAGCGAGACGACCAAAAGTTGGACCTGTCTTGCGACGTCTACACCGTCAAGGACGTGTCCGGTGGTGCAACAGAGTATAGGCATGGGATCTCAGGAACTGGAAACGCTTTTGGTTCAGCGATGAGCAGGGGTCCGGAAACCGTCATATGCGCCGAACATGTCCGATTGGGAATCTCAAATGTCCGGTTTAAAATATTGTTTACCGGACGACAGCCAGTCGACCGATGCAGATCAGTCGAGCGGATCTGCCAAACCCTCAAAGTCTGGACGATCATTTTGTAAGTCTTGGTTACAATGGTTGACATAAAATGAGGATTTGCAGATTTTATTGTTTTCAGTAGCTAGTCGTATATTGAATCTTGATTAACCGCCATTTTTCTTTCTGTGACGATCGATATCAAATTTTTTATGGTCAATAATTAAGTACAGATGAAAAAAGTATTCAAATAACTATTGTTATCAACGATATTTTAGTGTTTGTGATTATATTATCTCCCTTGTTTTCAAATAATCTTTAGTTTAAAAAAACCCTTTTCCCGTGAGGTCACGTGATAACCAAATATGGGATAATAATCTCGATCCAAATGTTACAACGCATACACTTGAGCAGACTCATGAATATATCTCATGAATATTAATTAGACCTTTCACTACGTTAACAAATCGTTATTATAACAGAAACAAACGTATGTTTTCCATGTATATCTAAAACGATATTATTTGTTATTAATTGTCCGGTGAATTAAACAATTTAAATTGAAACAATTCATAATTCATCATATTATGAATACGTAACAACTTATAATGTGTGTGAAAAGTCGTACTAAAATACGCTATTTGAAGGGGGCGTGGCCTAAATGCAAATGTCGGATTGGGATTTTAAATTTTCCAGACCCCTGGTGATGAGTCACGTTTTCTTCTTCAACGACGGGATGGAAGACAAGGTGTAGACACCCTTGTGGCTACACATGTGCAATGACTGAACTGAATTAGTGCTGACAATGATGACAATGCTTTTGTCGATCACTGTGTTTAATTTCATTTGATTGTGTTCACGCATATTCTGTGTAGATTCTTTTACATCCACTTAATAAATATCCTTATTTTTTAACTATGCGTTTCTTTTTTTGAAGAGTGTAGTTGTTTTCAATTGATGACGTCTGACAGTCATGGATCCAGGTACTTTAACATGATCAATTTCTCCCATTTGTTACTAGTGTAACACCATAAAATTATCCTTACTGGAAAAGCTGACCTTTAGGTTTATTCTTCATATTGTATATTCAAGGACAGAGTGAATGGTTTCTCTCTCTCTCTCTATATATATATATATATAATACTTGTCTTGTTTGTTCTCAGCCGCTCACAGATGACCACAAGACACTTGGAGACTATGGCTTCACAGGAGCAACAGCTAGAGCCCAAGCCCCTGCTACTTTAGGGTTGGCTTTCAGACAAGATGGTGGGTCCACATTACAACTCTCCATATTACATCTATCTGCCAAAAATACAAGAAAATCAATTTCTTATTAAAAAATAATTTGTCATAGATTTCATTACAGGTCTATCCATTCTCCAACATAAGTAATACAAACACAAAGTGAACATCATTACAGTTTTCTCAGGCAGAGCTATGCTGTAATTGCCTTTTTATCTGTCTGTCTGTCTGTCCATTCGTCCTCAATCATTTTGTTTTCTGAGTGTAACTTGAAAAAACGTTTCATACATTTCAACAAAAATTGGCATGTATATATGGATTTTTGCATTTTTGTTTTTCTTGATTTCCATGGAAACAATTTGGACTTAGTCTCTAAAGGTGGGGTGGATTTCGTTTCCGGAGCACAACTAAAAAAATGTTGAATATCTTTCGTCAAGATTTGGCAGATATATCAAACAGATCCGGAAGTGGTGCCTTTTGCTATTTGCATATTTTTGGCATTTTTATTTTTCTTGATTTCTGTGGAAACAATTCTGACTCAGTCTCAAAAGGTGGGGGTAAGTGTCGTTTCTGGAGCACAACTTGAAAACTGTGAAATACTTTTCATCCAAACTTGGTACATGTATCAACCAAGGGTTGATGTAATGCTTTTTGATATTAAAAAAAATTTCAACATTTGATTTTCCCCTGTTTCATGGAAACAAGTTCGACTTTGACTCTATTCATAGTGGTGTGTTTGCCTGAACCATATCTCTAAAACTAAAAGGTACTCTTTCTTGAAACTGTGAACACACAGAGACCAGGTTGTCAACTGGTACCTTTTGCTATTTAGAGATTTTTAGAACATATATTTTTCTGTTTCCATGGCAACAAGTTTGACTTTGACTCTGTTCATAGAAGTGTCTATCTGACATAGAAATACAAATTTCCGAACCCAAATTCCATGGTATTGTTTCGATAGCTCAATAACTAGTCTTGTATACAGACAGGGATTAGATAGAAATTCTCTCATCAAGCTGGACTTAAGTAACCATCAGATCATTTGTTCTTTCGAATTTGTTGGGGCCGGGGCGATTTGTCATCTTCTGATGACTGTTTTTGTCTTTCTATAATTAGACTCCAATTACTGGACAGGCACACATAACTTAGAACACCTGACCCTCCCTGGAAACAAGCAACAGTTGAATAAGCTTTGGTTGACAATTGTGAAAGTGTAAGTTCAACATGGTTAGAAATGGCAATTAACAGAGAGAAAAGTATATTTTTTTAAGTATCCTATAGGCATTACTCCTCTATACATTGACTGCTTACTTTTGACAGAAACAAAGCTGTGTGGGGTCCAGCTGAAGAGAAAAAGCTGTTCCAACTGACCCGGTGCAGCACCCAAGCACAGTTCCAATGTGACCCCGGAAGCGATGATGTCACACATCTTCACATTACTGTTTGTCACCCGATAGACATGTTGCTTCTGCCATGTTGTCCTGTGGTCCTGTCTAACATATGGTCTTGTTTATTGCCTCGCTATGTAAATTTTGCTCCCTACTGTGATGAGTGGAGTCCTTAGTATGTGTGGTTGTGCTTTAAATTCCAAGTTTGGATGTGAAATTGACTTTCGCCAACCTTTTTCATTCACGTATGTGTTTTTCCAATCTTCTATTTTGAATTGTACATCTGTCTTGTGTTTTCATGGCATATGTTTTGTCTTTCAGTTTGGCTTGGTATTGTTGCATGCTAGATATATTTAGCCTTCAAAAACCTTTTATAGTTTCTTACACTTTCTCTTATTGCAATCTTGATATCCTGTTAAGTCTGAATTAAACTTGGGTAATCTTGTCCTGACTTCAGCTTACATTGTTCAATTTGTGTGGCTCGTATCCATCTTCAAAAGATCCTCAACATTGCCTTAATTGTACGCAGTTTTGTGCTATTGTTTAGAAGTGTGATTTTTGTGCTACTCTCTCCCCTTCAACGTCTTGCTTAGTAGTCTTGGTGGCATTCCAGGAGGATGTTGGACTTTGAAGAATCTCTTCTTGAGTCCCCGGTGATTGCTACCCAACCCTCTACGTTGGGTTGGGTACTACCCACTCTGACATTCCCAACCTCCTCTGCGTACCAAGGCATCTAGTGTTACCAGTCACTACCTCCTCTGCGTACCAAGGCATCTAGAGTTACCAGTCACTATGCTCGCCCATGCTCCGCTGACAGCACCCTTACAGATGGCTTTAGTGGCACCTGGCCATGCGCCTCATCCACTGCTGTGACACCTGCTCCTCCGGGCTTCTTGGTAACGCCTGTGCTTGTAAGCTACCTACGCCTCCGGGCTTCTCCCTGTCTGCGCTGACCGTTCCACTTTGCCAGTTGTAAATTGTGCTTCCCGCCAACGCCACCCATGTACCTGCAGGCAACAGCACCCTACATGGACCCAGCCTGGATGCATAATTTAATGCACCTTAGTGCACTTTATGCACCTTGCACCTCAACTGTTTCCTTGCCTGTGCCTGCCCACCAGTCTGCCCATCCTCTGGCGTCTTATGCACCACCATTGCCTTCAGCACCCGCGGTGCCGCGAGCTCTTGCTGCACCTCCTGCTCCCCTGCTACATGTTGGGCGTCTACGGTGGTGTCAATGGTGGGCTGCATCACCTGGCGCTTCCTCCAGGCGATCTTTCAAAGTCATCTAGCTCCAACCACCGGTCTAGGAGTAGTTCTTTTATTCATCGCTCGCAGTCCTACCACTCAGATTCATCGAATAAACCTTTGGTAGAGGATTATGAAATGTCCTCTGAGTGGGACACCCACCTCAGCCTTGCCCAGATGCCAGATTGGATGCCTGACATCCTGACTGCAGTAGTGCCTTCTCCGGGTACGGGTGTTGACAAGAGAGATGCGTCTGGTCGCATGTCACCTATCCTGCCTGATCCTGAGTTTTTAAGCGCTGGCTTTTAAGCCCTGGCAAGGGTTTGAGGGCTTCAACTCTCGACATTACCTGCGAGGTACACACAGAGCTGTTTACCTCGGGCTGTGCTGGGATTTCATTGGCAAGAATCAACTACTGGGACAGCCTGACCAATCATTCTCCATCCCACCTTTATTATCGATTCTGGGAGCCAAGGACGAGGAGGAACTTCTGTTGTGCCCAGTGCTACACTGCAAGTTTACATCTATCGCCCCAAGACTCTGTGTGGTGCTCGGAAACTCCTGTTTATTCACGTCTCCCCAAACCTCAAAGACTGAAGTCAGATGCAACAGCATATCATTAGGGTTGCGCCATCTTACTTCAGGCTTATGAGATCACCCACCTTGATCCCACCGAGAGCTAACAATCCGAATGGTTGCCTCTGCGATGGCTCTACACAGTGTTTGCTCTATTAGAACTATTATGGAAGGATGTTTTTTTAGGTCTGACACTGTCTTCTCTGTCGTCGCCCAGCAGGTCACCAATATTCGGCACCATTAAAAACTCCTCTTACTAGCCAGAGCCAGTCTTACCCGACTCATGCAGTGTCTAGACTTTAGCCCATGCTAATTCCTCTTGCTGCATTTTACCGAGACATCCTCATACTCCCGTACTGTCCGTGGTCAGGATTGGTCAAAGTAGCTGCAGATCTGTGCAAGTGATGCGCTCAACGACTGGTGTGAACTATTGGAGAGTTTGTCACTGAGGACCACACCTGAGGGTATGCCATCTGCCATACTGTCAGATACAGATGCATTTATGGATTCTGGATAAGTTAAAAAAAATGTAAAATCTAAATATTTTTCACATTTGTAAACTTATCCTGCATTACAATGTCTAAGGGTCCATCTGTCGCAGACCTCCTCCCAACAGTCTCTTCAGATTTTATGATTCAGATGTCCGTGACATCGCTTCCAGGGTCATGTGGGTACCTTCACAGAGGCGTCCCAGTCTGGCTCATACCAGCCGCGACGCAACACCCTCCAGCCCCAGTGGCGTGGCACCACCTCAACCTCTCGAGGCAGAGGAAAAGGCAAGGCATCGGGCCCATAACAGTCCCGCCGCGGCCACTCCAAGGGAGGTAACGCCGACCGCAGGGACTTCAAGTGAATAACCAGACAGGCACGACTGGGACTTCCAGCCCCAGCCGTCCAAGTTGTCGACATTCCAATACTTGGGAGACTGGGTCGTTTCTGGCAGAATTGTGAGATCCTGGGGGACCCACATGTCACCAACATATTCCGACATGGATACAAGCTGGCGCTTATAGACGACCTGCCGCTACCTACCCCCCATCTCAACAGCAGCTACCAAGCCAGTACTAAGCTAGTACATCTTGACGCTGCTGGACGAGAAAGCGATAGAGGTTATACACGCCCCAGTCATAACACCGGGCTTCTTTTCACCTGTCTCCCTTGTCCCCAAGAAGGACTCAAACACAGGATGATCCACAACCTCGCCGCTTTCAACAAACGATACCTTATTGCAGGATGACCACGCTCAGGCTGCAATCCCGGATCCAGGCACAGGATGTATTCATCAGCCTGGTTATGGAGGACGTCTATCGACATGTCCCTATACATCCCGACGACCGGGTCCATTACCAATGGGCGGTTCCCCCATTTGGATTTTCTTCGGCACCTTGGCACCTCACACGGCTTACCAAGCCAATAGCCTCATACCTCCATCTCCGAGACATTCAGTTTGAGGTATACATAGAAGACTGTCTCCTGAATCATTAGGACCTTGAGACCGGTGGGAGCGCATGCAGGCGCACCTGACTCAGCTCTCCACCTACCACGCACTCTGCGCCAATGGCAAGTCCTCCAGGGCCTCCTAACCTCAGCACAGGACTTGACCTACAGAGGAAGGTTCCAACTGTGCCTAGTTCAGATGTTCCATCGTCCTCCCGGATCATCTCAAGCAGCATCTCCAGTGGTGGAATCGAATGTCTCAGGCGGCGTCTCCTTGACAGGGCTTACGACCTCTTTGCTCCTACTCGTAGACGCGCCCCTGCAGTGATGGGGCACACACCTGGAGGGACAGGTCGCCTCGGGGCTGTGGTCCGC